CAGCTCCATATCTCAGCTGCACTTGCAGTCTCTGAAGTGTAATTTTCAAACCTGCAGCATACTTAATTTGTGCTGTAGTTTCACGTGCTGTCTCCTTCCTTTCCCAGTGTTTTACATGCTCTACCTGCCGGAATCGCCTGGTCCCCGGAGATCGGTTTCACTACATCAATGGCAGTTTATTTTGTGAACATGATAGACCTACAGCTCTCATCAATGGCCATTTGAATTCACTTCAGAGTAATCCACTACTGCCAGACCAGAAGGTGAATACTCCACAATTACTAATAAGCTTTCTTAGAGCTAAATGAAGATCAATTTCTTTTCATTCTAATAGTGGACATTCCCTGCCCCTGCAAAGAGACCTTTAAGTAGCTGAACTTACCTTAAGTTATTTAGGCACAGGGTTTGGGGAGAAAATAGTAACCTTTTAAATATGACTTACAGGGTGAGCGAGTTTATTTTGGTTTGGGCACGTGCATCTGTACAGGTGTTGAACTCCTTATGTACAAAGCAAAATGGAGAGCATACATTAATACAAACTTCTAAGAAAGAGAAGTATTTTATAATCTTGAAATTAAGGCCTACAAGAGAGCAGGTTTCTGAGGGAGGCAAATTAGAGCCTTTAATATGGAAATAAATGCCTTGTGAAGAGAAGATTCCTGGACTAAACTAATATATTTTATTTTAATATTAAAATTTTAGTTGAGGAAGGATGCTGGGGTACTCTTTCAGAAGTATTTTCTTGCCTGTTTTATGTGTCGTAACTCAGATTTTAAAACCAAAGTGCTATTTACGTACCATTCTGTAACACTGATATCTCAGCTAGAGATTGTGGATCTCTGTGGTTGATAGTTTTGGTTTCTAGCTAAATGAGAAAATGATGATTGCACAGATCGTAGAGTGAAGAAGAAAAAAAAAATTCTGATCAACAGTTGCCTTGTAACTCTGAAACTAGATAGTTTTAGATGTATTTTAATCTTCTTAATCAGTCCTAAAGCTATGCAAGTGAGTGCATTTTGATAACTGCTGTGCCTAATTTGTAACAATTACTGTCAACCTTGAGTTAAGAGACTGTTCATTCCACCCTGGTCCAGAAAAGAGTGGATGTATGACTCTTGCACATAATTTTATTCACATCATATTTCATACTGATTATGTATTGATGACATTGATTCATTTACTCTTTACAGCGCCACTTGCATGGATATTAAATCTTATTGACCACAGATGAATTTTAATTTCAGATTGGTGATAGATTTTTCCATCAGCTCTGATAGTATATTTGACTTTTTCATCATTAACCCAGGCAATCACACAGCACTGAGTTATTGCAATGAAACAAAAAGTGCACACTTCAGTTGGTAATTCTTTATAGATTTACAATAGGAACTTCATTAATGTCTGTAAGGATCACAAAAAAATAACATTTATCTGCAAGTAGGAATTCAGAAGATTAAAAAAAAATCTGGGACAAATGCTAGACTGATCTATTCTGTAGTGTGCAGTGTATTTTGTAGTGCTTTTAGTCAGTGGAGAAATATATCCGAGAAAACAGAAACTGTTCTTTATTTTACTTTTTTTTTGGTTGTGTTTCTGCGTTTCAATATCTGTGTTTGCTTTTTTTTTTGTGCATAAATTTACTGATTAATTTTAAATATTCTTTCAAGTCTTATACAGTGAATGTAATTACATCAAAATAAAGCATGGACCTTTTTTATTTACTTAATTTGTCAATTGAGGTGATGAGAGAATTGAGTACAAAAATGCTACATAGTTAGGCAGAACAAAGATAATTAAGATTGGAAGAGAATGTGCAGCCTCTTCTCAAGGAAGTACAAATACAGTTAAAGATTCATAGATTTATACTGTTGTGAATTTTAATGAAACAAATCTGTAATATAGACTAGCTAGCAGTGATTCTGTTAAATGAATATTTATAGGTATCCCATTTCAAAATATAGGTAAAACCATTCATCTTTATACACTGCAGTAAAAGGTTTACCATTCTGAGAGTGGTTTATCCACTTGTCTTCTACGAATGTAAAGTTTAATGTAACTTCAAATAGGTGTCTAAATTGTCATTTAGTTTTATCAGTTTCTTTCTCTGCCTTAGCAAAACATAAAAATGATTTAGCTGCAATAAAAGCAGCAGACATGATGAGGAACACAGAACATGGCTGAGAGAGCTCAAAGAGGACGGGGCTGGCAGAGCTGGTGGCTGTAGCTGCCTGGTGGGGCTGAGGGCAGGAGTGGTGGCAGCAGGGTTTGGTCACTCTGTCACTGGCTGGCAGTGGCACTGCTGCACCAGAGCGAGGCACGTGAGCAGCTGTTGGGAGAAGGTTGAGGGGACACAAGTTTGAGGGGTTTTTTATTTACAATACAATATCTCTGGAAATTGTTCTACCTTCTGCTGTTTTTCAAAGGGAATTGCAGAGCACCGTAATGCCAGAAAAGAAACACAATTACAGAAATAAGTTGATAATTCATGTATTTGTCAGGTTTCTGAAACTTTGGAAGCTACAGGGGCTGTTGCTAAGAGAGTTGTATTTTATAATATATTTATATATTTCTTTATATTTTATTTTTTTAATAGTTTTTTATTTTGCCTTTTCGACAGTCTAAAAATTTTACTATCAGAGATGTTTTACAGGAAGCTGCATGCTTTAGGACCACTGATTAAAAATATTCTTCCACTGTAACACAGTTGGCTGTAACAGATACTTTTTATTAAACATTACAGATCAATCATTTTCCACATTATTCTATCACTAGAGATTACAGAGATAGCAGAATATCCACAGGTTTTTTTTTGTTTTGTTTTGTTTTTTTTTAATTTAACCAAAGAGATTGAGACACTCCCAGCATTAAAACACATTTTTGTTATGCATATGAAGGTGACAGTGATGAACTTACTCTTGTCTCACTGCAGTTCACAGGTGACCAGTGCAGGCAGGAAAGGTTGCATAGTACAACATGGTTTAAAAACTTGGGTTTGTTTTTTTAAGGAGACAAATGCAGGGATGTTTGCCATTCCTGCCTTTTGCTTCCCTGAGGCAATTTACACATGTAAATTATAACTTCCCATTACTTGCCCTATAGTTTAAAAAACCCCTCTTTTCTCCAAACTCAGTACTGCTTGCCTGCTGAGTGCAAACTTAGTTTGTGATGTCCTGTGTGCCATTTCATTTGAAGGGGCTGTATTGTCAGGAATGCTCTCTGCTTTTTTTGTACTAGTAGTATTCCTGTGGTATTTCTTGTTTGCAACACTATTACCACCTACTGAAAGTGTACATTTTCCACTGGTTGGCAGTGTTCGTAACAAATGTTTGTCTTCAGCTTCTATACTTTTAAATAAAGTATGAGTTACATTACATCTCTTAGAGAAGATCTTAAAAATCTTCTAGTTTACATATCACTCAGCAATTCCCTTGTAGTTACATAATTGGTGTTGTCTGTGGCCATAGTAGAAGATATTTGATGCTCATTTATTAAATATGCTTGCTGGCTGCTCCCTAATCTTTGTTTTGGACAGACAAATTACCTTTCTCACACTGAGCTTCAGCTCTGGGGAATTAAACCTCCAAGCTTCTACTACTTTAATTAGCTTGAAAGTGGGGGGTTGCAGTTACTAATAGACCTCAGGCTTTTAGTAACTTAGAGAAAGGGTGAGAAAAGAACTTCCTGGGAAGCGCAAAATGTCATTTAAAAGCCATAAAAATCTAATATATATTATTTCATTTTGGTAATTGCAAACAGATTGTATTTGAGGACTATGGATGATCATTCCTATTTTATCCATGAAAGTTTAAAATTTTTATTGAGTTAGACACTTTTAATTATCACAATTCATTAACACCAGTATGAAAGCACATGTTTGACTTCATATATTAAAATGTTTATGTAACATTAACTAACATACCAGATGAGGAATTTAAATGGGAGGGGGGAATCCTGAAATATCTATATTTAGCTCTTGTGCAATGCAGCATATTAACCAAAGTTGCCTTGGGAGGATATTGGCTGTACTTCATATTTGCTTTACACACTATTTCTTCCAATTACAAGATTATATTACTTGCTTCTTCAAAGGCATGGCATAATGGTTCTCCCCTTTCAAACAGGGCCCAGAAAAGCCACCTTATTCACTGTATGATTTGTTACCAGAAAGTACACATTTCTTGTTGTAGTCTTTTTTTCATGTCTGCTTTCTTTAGTAGTGAAACTGTAAAAAATGTTTGCTTTTTGCTGTTTAAAGTTGAAACGTTAGCGGTATGAATGGACAGTATAGAAAGCCTTAATCAAGTCACAGTTAGAAAGTAGTCTAATAAAAAAGAGATTAGTGAATAGGGAAAAACAAAAGCAGTCATGTTATAGTTTCCTATCTCAAATTTAGCTAAGATACCCATTTTTATTTCTTGCAGGTCTGCTAAAAGGTCAGAGTAATGCAGAATGCGTGCCTTCATCTCAAATTTTGTTCATCACAGATGGATCCCATGTCTCCAAGTAGACAAGTCACCTTTGTAGCTAGCATCAATGCCAGCTCCATACCATTGCACCTTCTTTATTCTTGATTGCCCTTCCCACATTTATTGGTGTATTAAAATGACTGAATATGAACATTAAGGACTCCATGAACCTGGGCTAATGGGAGACTGTAGAGAAAATGAAAAAAGATCCACCGGAGGACATCTTGGGGGGGGCGGGTGGGGAAGATGACTAATGAAGCTAATTAAAAGAAGCATTGAAATCTGCTTTCTACCCTCATTAACAATTAGCAGGGCACTGGCCAGTTTGTACCCTGTGTTTTACCTTAACAACATTCTATTTGCTCTTTGTATATTTAAGTGTTGTAAGGAAATGTGTTTCAATCAAACTGAACATGAGATAAAGATGTGGCTTTTGTGATATTCTATCACAAACACTTTTATTGTATCTCTGTAAAATACAATGTATGTATGCATGTAAGTGTTTTTGTCCTAATGTTGCTACTTCCCATGGCAAAAGAAAAAAGGAAAAAAAAAAGAAAAAAAAGAAAGAAAGTCAGGCTCATAGCAGCTACTGTGTAGAAATTTTCACCTACTTCTAATTTGCTGAATGAAGAAAAATCTTTTATTTGTGATATTTTCAGAGACATTTGCTCTAGTATGGTGTATTTAAATAATAAAAAGTAAAACAAAACCGAATATGGGTTTTAGAAGCTTTGCTTTTTTTTTTTTTAATTACATTCAAAGCATTCTGCAACTTAACCTTACGTAGTTCTCACCTTAACTGTCAATTACCTTTAAAAGTAGGTTTTTGGTTTGGATTTTTTCTTTTGTCTTATGCCAAGAAGGGCTCTGGTAAACTACTTGACTATGTTACCTGTGACAAGGATAATGAGTACTACAATTTTTTTTTTTTTCATGGAGATTCTTAATTCTGGTAACAACAAGTACATTATAATTCCCAGTGCAGTGAATTACAGCACAACAGAGGTACTGTGGTTTCTTTCTTTCCAGTTCCTTCTGTTTTAAGGATGTGCCTGTGTCTCTGAGCATGCAAGCATAAGAGGGTATGAATATACCATAAGACAAAAAAATAAAAGCCAACGAAAGGTCTGTACCTCATGCTGGGCACTAGAATTGAGTATTCATGAAAAGGAATACAATAGCTATTCTGATCTGCACAACATAAAGTTGTGTTTGCTGTGGTGAGACTTTAACTTTTCAACACTGATAATCTTAAGGAAAGAAAAACCTGTTTCCTGGGCTGTTTCTGAGAACTAGCTGATCTCAAAATATGATCTGTTTACTGAAAGCAAACAAACAAAAACCACCTCCCAGTTGTGTTTGCTGTGGTGAGACTTTAACTTTTCAACACTGATAATCTTAAGGAAAGAAAAACCTGTTTCCTGGGCTGTTTCTGAGAACTAGCTGATCTCAAAATATCTGTTTTATGAAAGCAAACAAACAAAAACCACCTCCCCACAAAGCAGCAGAGCCACCTCTAAGCTTACAAAGGGAACAACTTCATTTTGCGTGTTTTTACCATCAGCTGTTTAGTTGTAGATTTGTGCAGAATACTTTGATAAAAACAAAATCTGACTTTTTCATGTTTTTAGCAAGAATACTAACATGGATCTGTGGCTGTCCACTGTATGCCTTCAGTCAGGAACCTGCAAGCAACGAATCTGCCTTTGCTGCAATTCAAAGCAAATCAATATTAAGAAATACTCTACTTTTATAGGAAACTAATGCATTCATAACACACCATTATTTTGTTTAATTCTGTTTTTTAGAAGGTGTTCAGTGCTCAGCTGCTTGGTTATAGAGTGAGCTTGACTTATTTATGTTGTGATGCCAATAACACAAAAAGCTGATTTATAGATTTATCTGTATAAACAACCAACAGCAGATATTTTTGTTTCAGGTTCTACTTCATGATATCTAGTATATTGGAGGGCTGCTGAATTTTTACTTTTAACACGTCAGTGCTTGAGGAAGCCCAGTTTCAGAGGAAACATAGCAATGTACAGTATCAGACAGTAAAGACAAAAGACTAGTTGCATAACATATAAAGCACAATATGACTGACACTATGTATGACTTTAATTAAATGCACTTGTGGGTATTTTAAATAAGTTTCTAAGCTTTTTGATCTGGCATTAAAGTCTTCAGAGTCTGTAAATTGTGCTGCTTCAGTATCTTTGAAAAGACACTTGAAGTCATATGAATATAGAATTCAAGTATTAGTGAGACTGTAGACATCTTTTTATATTCTTTCAGTATAAGCACTCAAGGTACAGTATTTAAATCTAACATGTACAGATTTTTGGTTGTCCAATATAACCTAGAAGTGCTAAGAAGATAGCTAATAACTTATAGTAAGAAATGTAGTATAGCATTTAGTGATGTAGAGGTTGAAGTTCATTAACAGCTTTAAATAAACTATTATATGACTCATTTGTAAAGCACAGCTACCTATTTAATAGCTTACTTTAAAAGCATTTCTTAAGTTGCAGACCTATAAGATTACAAATGTCACTCATGTTAGCATAATCCACACGCAAGTGATGAAGCCTTTGCTTTGATGTGCTAAATTGCAGGAGGACTAATGGAGCTATGAATATACAATAGAACATATTTAAGTAGTATTCTTGCTTTAGATAAAACACTTTCTTGAAACCAGAGGCATTTCACACAATGAAACAGGCTGTAATGGGGACGGTAGGTGTGGGCAGAAGGCTACTGGAAACACTTAGGTTTGTCCTTATGTGAAAAATCACTTTTTTTTTTTAAGGAGATTTGTGAAGAAAAACACATACTTGTTCACCTTTTATCACATGCATTTGCTGCACTGAGGCTGAAATACACCCTCTGCATTTAGTGCTGCTGAAAAGTCAAATAATCATTCAGTAAGAGCTTCCCTTTCAAAAATGAATGCTATTAAAAAAAGAATCAAAGGAAATATTACTAATCTGAAATCATCCTCATGAACCTGGATAAAATGCACTGTCTATACTGCATCTAAACATCTCAATCATATAAATTGTCACTCTTATTAATGAAACAATTTTGTAAAAAGATTGCCCTCTAAATGGGTTTAATGTTTTTACCTATCCAGCTGTCTAGTTATGAGATTTACGCATCCTGGCAGGCAGTGGGACATTAAGCCTTTCCAAACCAAATTCTGTTTGCAACAAGATACTGTCTTTTCAGTCCTACATGATTTATCTTTAAATATTTTAACAGGTTATGCAGTATCTTATGAAATATAAAATGAGAATGTCTTAACAAAATGAAGCCTATGAAATTAAGTCACATGTTCAGAATATTAACCGCACTGAGTTTGTCTTCCTTTTTCCCTGTTAGGTAACACCGATAAAATTTGCATCACATACCATTAGGGTAAATACTAAAAAACCCCAAAACTCACACAGTGGCAGAGTATGCCTTGTTATCAAGGCAGTGGAGTCACTGCTCCTGGAGGTGTTTAAGGAAAGACTGGACATGGCACTGAGTGCTGCAGGCTGGTTGACATGGTGGTGTTCAGTTTAACTCTGTGATCTCAGAGGTCTTTTCCAGCCTGATTCTGTGATTTCAAAATATCGTTTCAATTTAAACCTTTAATCAAAGGATTTTGCTGATAGGTGTATGTGAAGAGTGCAGCTTTTTGCAAGTATCTATTCTGAACAGCTCTATTAAAATAAAAAATCAAATCGAGATTAGGAAATGTATACATTTTTTCAGGTGTTACATTTAATCAGTGTGAACTTGTGTTTTGGGTTTGATGGCACTGCCTGAGACTTCTGTACATGGAGTACCAGATAACCCTCCTTGCTGCTTGCTACGGTTACTACCAGGTGTATGCGTGTTGTCAGTCCAGCTAAGCCACAGACAAGCTTACTGCAATTAAATAGCAATTTGTTTCTATGAAACTGCAATTAAAGTATTACTGATCAGCCATTTTAGATTGGCAGTGCTGTGACTGCATGTTAAAGAGAGGAGCTCTCGATTCCTTTCTGCAGTTGGAGAGGCGAGTGTCAGTGAGGTGTAGCACGCTCACCTCTGTCCCTTGTCAAGCTGGAAGTATGAGTCCTTGGTGGAGTGCTCTGATCTCATCACCAGCACGCTGAGAGCGATGACAAGTCAGGGCTCATCTCTGTAAGTTGAACTTGCAGCTTACAGGACCTGAAGTTATTGCTGTTTCTGTTCCTGTATAAGCAGGGATGTGTACGCTTCCTACGGGGATGTTTTCAGCTCCAGATTGATTCTGTTGAGAATGGACAGCAAGTTGTGGGCCCCGAGCCAATAACGTTCTGCAGGTCCTGACTTGTTAGAGCTGTGTAAACAGGGCTACTATAGCTCCTTAATCATAACTGATAAAAGACTAGAAGAAAGCAATCAATTACCTTATAGGTTTGGTTTGTTTTGTTTGTTCTTTGTTTTTTGTTTTTTTAATAAAAAGCAAAAGTTTATCTGACACTGTGATTATTTTCACGCTCATACAAGGGATGAGAGATTAAAGCAATCTGATGGGTTTACCTGTGTGCACCTGGGGTTTGCTGGCAACTATATGCTTGTGATATTCTGGGAAGCCACAATGCTCCTGCCCCTAGGCCTTGCAGAACCCACCAGCCACTGCCTGGAGTCCCTGAACAAGCTTCTATCATTCCTGGTTGACTTGAAATCTGAAATGTAAATTTTGGGTGCAAATTAAAAACTTGTTTGTAAGAACTCAGAGAGGAATTAACTTTGTAGTGGTAATTTTGTTTTTTAATTATCACCATATTTTAACAAAGTCTGAGACATGTTAACTTTAGTTCCTGCATTTTTGTGGAGTAGAGGCTGTAGACATCCTGGTTCCTCTGCCAGAGGGGATGACATCACACCTGTGGCATGCATGAGATAAGCATTGCTTCATTTAGGCACAGGTTCTTGGCTCTGAGAGATGTTCCTTGTGGGGGTGAAGGCTGGGGTCCTGCAGTGTGACCCATGGGGTGGGTGACTGCTGCTGGGGAAACTGCTGCAGGTTTGCTGGTCATGTGGCACATGGATAACAAATGTCACCTGAGCAGCTCTTGGCTCCTGGCAAATGGCAGGTAAAATGCCTGTGCTTAAACCTAAAAGTGAAAATGGCCCAGCTGACAGTAATTCATTCACCCTGGTAGAGCGGTCTTATGTCTGAGCCCAAGGCCTGAAAAGAGCCCTGTTTACTGGAGACAGACGCTGCTGTGTTGAGGAATTTTTTTTCCTTCCTCTGTGGGTATTTTTTAATGAGTTCTGTTGTTGTGTTTCTTTTCACAGTACTTCTAGCATTAAGCTTACAGAAATGTTTTTGGTGTGCAGAGAGGGAGGCATAGCAGGTATGGGGATGTTTTGGTGTGCAGGAGGCTGCACTTCAGAGAGGGAGGCATAGCAGGTATGGGGATAGTTGGGGCTTGCTCACCAGAGGCTTTTTTTACCCCACTCACCTGTAGCTTGCCCACTGAAGGAGGGCAGTATCAAGGAAGGCTCTGAGGCTCAGGCTCCTGAAGGACCAGAAAAGGGCCTCAGCTTTCAAACAGCACCCCAGGAAGGCCGGACGTTTTAATAGGTGCAAACTTTCAGCAAATGTAAGCTGAAAGTTCTCTCATATTCATTGTCATAATGGAGACCTTGTAGACCATTTTGCTGTTTTGTTCTCATGTGTAATATCGCTCTTACATTTTTGTGATCATTTTATCTTCCTAAATCAGTTCTCTGTTACATTATTCACCTGAGCTTACAAATGCTAAAGCTTGAATTTTTTTTTAATTATCAAAATGTTTAAAAAATATGTTTTGCTTTTTAGAATTGTTTTTGCTATTGTGTATTTACCTTTAAAAAACCAAAATCAAAACAAAATCCCTCAGCAATTTTGTTGAAACAGTCCTACAAACTGTAGCATTAAGACCAAAATTAGGCCTGAGACATGCCTGCCCCAAAATAATTTTTTGAGAGAGAGTATAGTGGAGATAAAAGGACATTTTGAAAGAAGTTGTTCTTCCTGGTTGGGTGCTGGCCTCCTGTGAGGAGGCACAGCAAGATGGGCAGCATGAAAGGAGCCCCCACAGACAGAGCCTGCCCCGCCACCTTTCCCAGCACTGGTGACAGGTCCCCTCTGGTGCCCATCGTGTCCTTTGCTTTTAGTGGTGGCTGCTGCCAGTGAAGCTGCCTGTGAGGAGGCACGGTGAGATGGGCAGCATGAAAGGAGCCCCCACAGACAGAGCCTGCCCCGCCACCTTTCCCAGCACTGGTGACAGGTCCCCTCTGGTGCCCATCGTGTCCTTTGCTTTTAGTGGTGGCTGCTGAGCAAGCCAAAGTTCTCCCTGCGCAGTCAGATTCCTCTGCAGCTAAACCAGATGATGTTTCTTTCTCACATTGTTGGAATATGCTGTTAATTACATTTTGAAATATCCATATATTTTTCCTCTTAGGGGATCTTATGAGCAAGGTTCTCGCTAACAACTTCTGTGGTTCACCATAACCTCTCAGAATCATCATTGCTTCCATTGAACCTATGCCAGTTGTTTTGTTAAACTAAGTTGAGAGAACGGGGCCTATATTAATTCTCGAAAGGCAAGAGATTGCCCTGTGATTTGGGGAAATCTTGATTGCTTACAGTATGAATAAATGAACAAGGCAGATATTAACTTTACACCTGACTTCAATTTCTTTGAGCAGTGAAGAAATGTCCAGTAGGAGGGTAAAAATCCAGCTAAAACTCATAAGCCAGCCATTAATAGGCTAACTTTATTGTGCTGTAAAATCTTCAGCAGCTTATAGAAAACAAAGGGGCAATGAATGCAGTATTTGTCTTTTATTCTTAGGAAAAAACGTTAAGATCAAACGGTCCCTAAAAGACTGAGCTGATATGCATCCCACTTACATATTTTTGGATATCGTCTGATATTCATTCCACTGATGTATTTGATAGGTAATTACATCAGCCATATCGAGATGCTGATACCAAATAGTGGAAGACTTCAGTGTTTTGCCATAAAGCTTATACCCCTTGTTACTGAGCTCCCATCGCACTTGAGATCTGCAGCAATCATTTGAAAGATGTAGTTGGTATTTTTGTGCTTATGCCACATTTAAAAATTATTATTCTTGCTTCATCAGTTAGTCTTTTTAGCTGACTTGAAAAAAAAGCATATTGCAAATGAGCTACTATTCTTATTTGTTGTTTTAAGAAGGGTAAGCACTGAAGTATTCAAATGGAACAGATTATACCTTTAATTACATCCAAACAGGATGCTGAGCTGATTTTTCTATTTTCCATTTAATTGCTATAGTTCAAAAAGATATTGCAAATTTGTAGATGAATTATTTAAGCATAGCCTTCTGGCCTCTGTGTTCGGGAGAGACCAAACGGGGCGGGGGGGGGAAAAGAAAACAGAATTTAAAGGCAAAAATTACCACTTCCTTCTTTAAGAAAAAAGCTTGAATAAAACATCTTGGGGGAAGATTTTTTTTACCTGGAGAGATATTTTATGCTTCATGGGAGCATCTTCATTCTCCATGGGATTTGTTTGTATCCCACCAACCACAGCGGGTGCCTGGCTCCTGAGGGCCCCCCTGTCTCATGCCTTGGGTACAGAAGTGCTGCTTCTTCTCCAACCTGCTCCTTGGTGACTGTGCTGCTTCACAGATGCAATCCCAACCAGCCACCCTTTTCACGGATGTGCTCGATCTCTGTTCTCCTACGTACAAAATGAGAATAATGAAAGCAAGCACAATTCATCAGTTCTTAAACTAAATATATTTCCATTTTCTTTGCATGTGCATGTGTATATATCATTCACTGTAAAGATTTTGAATATGTGCAATGACATTACAGCCAGTGATAAATCCTACTCACTTACTATATGTGTTATTTGCTGCAACATTAAACTCAGTAAGAATTTTATATGTAACTTATACCAAAACTAAATATATTGTGAAATTCATGCACAGCTGTAAACAAGTACATCACTCCCTGCTTCAACACAGTTGAAGGTGGCAGCTTGTGTGGCAATTCTTTTGTAAACAACTGTACACATTCCAAAGAATAAGTCAGTTAATTACATTTTTAATGATGTTTTTAGAAAAGAATATTCTTGGTGGGGGGGGAAACCCCCAACTCATAAACCAACAAGAAAAGTAAACCTAAAGCTTGTACTTTACAAAGAAATGCTGTCAGTGAAAAACTGGACTCTGCTGGGCACAGGTCTTTTTCTCCCCCCACGTTATTTTTTTTCTTGTGCTGAACTTGCCTGCGTAAAGTACTTTTTTATAGCTCTACTGTGAATTCAAAGAAAGATGACACTGGCACAATCTATTCAAGTTTTTTGGTGGATTATCTCATTTCATTATTTTCAATGCTACTAAGTATGTGCTACCCACTTAGAGAGCTGATGTGGTGCATAGCAAAGCTCAAGATGTCCTCTTAAACACACAAAGCTTATGCAAGGCCGTGACACAAGTAGGTTTTAAACTTCAGCAGTGTTGGCAGCTCTGAAGGGCTGATACAATACAGCCTTGCTGACACGTCACAGGTTACAGGGAGAGATTGAGGAAGAAACTGAACTAACCAGAGTAAGACTAGGACACAACTTTTATTGATGGAGTTCAGGGGAAAGAGGCACCGGGGGCAGCTGTATTAATCCCATAATAACTTGAAATATAATCAGTACATTGCTGCAGGGATGGCTAGGAAGGCAGGGAGGTGGAGGTGTCAGGGTTTAAGTTCACAGGCATTCCCAGTTCATTAAAAAGTGAATCAATCAGAAAAACAGGCTGGCTTTTCAAAGGGCTGGCACTTGCGAACGGGCTACGGACGTCGGGAGGAACACAGATGGTGAGCCCGGCCTTGTGCAGGGGCTGCTGGAGCTCACCAGCCATTCATTTGAGGAGACGGCTCTGTTCTACCCTGCTCAAACCAGTAAAATGTGTTATAATGTGCTAGGGGAGATTCTGGCTGCATTCTGAGAACTTAAAAGCTAGGCAGTGTTGGTGCTCAGGGCCATATTAAGGTGATGCTGATAGATGTTTATAAAGGGAAAAAAGTTTTGTTTTATAATTTCTAGAGTGGTGGTTTAACCAGCAGGCAAACGGGCAGAAGGAGTCTGCCTACAGGACCCCTCTTTGTAAGCAGCTGGTATAGTAATTAGCTCATTACTATTAATTTTTGCCATCCCTGGACTGATCAATGATGTATTTTAAAAAAAAAGTGGAATCTGTGTATCTGGATCTGGCATTTCCTACATCCTTTTGATGAAGCTGGTGTACGTACACAGACCAGAGAACATCCTTAGAGAATGAGCTTACTCACACCCACAGGCACTTGAAGGTTTAGGACAGAATGCCCTATATTTAAATAGGACTCATGACTTTTTAATTACTGCACAGTGCAACAGGGCTCAGTGAGAACACATGGTTGTCCAAACTGGTGTGCTGTGATTGCTCACCACTGGTATGAGAGTGCATTTAATCAGTGATCTGTAGCTCACCTGAGACTCAGCACCCACCACAGGCACAGGTAGGAACACTGACAGACGGTATTTCCACAGGAACCTCAGCCCTGTGTCGGGAAGGTGGTATAAAAGAAGCTCTGTCCTATGGATGAGTGGTGCAGGTTGAAGAACATCCATGTTAGAAGGCAGCAGTGTCACTGGGACCTGGTAGCTCCTTAGAGGGAAGCACATCCTTCTGTGGACATCTTTGCTGGAATGTGAGCCCGTATCTTCCTCTGTATCTGCCCTCTTTCATGGATCCTGCCATGCCTGCAATGGGCCAGGGACTGACCTCAGGTTAATTAATAGTTCCACTGATTGCTGGAGGAGCTGTGGAGAAGGGCAAAGACATACTTGTCAGTGTTACAGTTAAGACAGGCAGGCTCTTTTTTTGACATTTCCTTTTAAATAATTTTTGCTTTCTAAGATGTTTATAACAACATGAACAACTCAACAAACCTATTATTCAGCAAATATTCACAGCAAATATTTGGCAGGTGCATATTTTAATCCTACCTTCCCACCTTCACTGTACATTACTTTGGACTAGCAAAAGACTTCCTTGGATATGATTAGCCATAGCACAAACCTCTCCATATCTCTACAATGTGGTTTAAAGCACAAGCCAGGCGGATTCCACACCTCTTTTCTTGCATTCATAGGTCTTTCCAAGCACTATCCTGAGCCACAGCCTAAGGCCAGTGAGTAGAAAACCTACCTGCTGGTTTAATTTTATTTTCTTGTTTAGTGTCAGTTTCAAGCCTTCCAGAAATGGTAATTTTTCTAAATGTTAATTTCCTCTTCCAGTCTCCTTCATCCCAATGCCTGGCTCAGCCTTGCTCTGAGGACTCACGTTCAAACGGATTCAGCTGGAATGCTAACGTGGCTGGGAGCTGGCACTCATGCAGGGCTTGGGGCAGCTCATAGTGACCTGACCTGTTTTTACTGAATCAGTTCCAGTTCAGCAGAAGTGGGTCAGACTACCTTCAGCCATGTCAATCCAG